CCATCCCGGCCGCCGGCCTCTCCTGCAGTCCTCCACTTCTGTGGCCACACTGACCCTCTTGCCGCTGCCCAGACAGGCCAGCAGGGTGGGATGCCCGGGCCTCTGCCTTTCCTGCCTCCCTTGCCGGGAGCCTCCAGTGCCTGGAGAAATGCGCGACGTGAAGCAGGGGGCACCGCATGTTTCTTGACGAGTTAATAAATTAATGAACATAAAGGTCCAGGGCAGTCAGAAAAGGCGGCTCCGCTGAGAAGATGCGACGAGAGAACAGGAAAGAACACTGAAGAGTGAACCAAAGTCGGTGAGGCCGCCGCACCAGAGTACACTTGACAAAATACAACCTCTGATTCAATGATAGACTTTAAAAATCCTCCAAAATGTCTGCGCAAACCCAAAGGGAAGTCAATAAAGAGGGGCAAAATGCTACAAAAGAGGAGAAAAAAAGAAGCTAAGTGTCTGATCTTAAAGAATTCTGGTGTTATGCAAATTTAATCAAAATACCAATGTAGAGATGAAGTAAGAAAGGTGCTGCTGGAGAGAATGCTCTTGTGTAGAGTAATTAGGGGAAGGTTTAGACAAGATCCGCAAGATCAGCCACACCTAGATACCATACGAATTTTCCAAAAAATGCAGAGTGAATATTCCTGGCATTTCTCACAGCAACCGCCTTGGCTGGTGAGAGGGCTCAGCCCGTCTGCAGGGAGCGGGGACAGTGTGGTGATCGGGGACAGAGCGAGAACGGTCCCATAGCAAGTCCTCAGCTGTGCCCGGGGAAGGACGCCTCTTACACAGGTCAGAGGTGACAGCCATGGTCTCTGTCCCCAAGAGACGGTACCGCACAGTGGTGCTCTCCAAGAATCCCGGTGCTGGTCACCAGCTACGTGATGTCTTATGGCTTGTCCTTGGAGTCCCTCGCCGGGACCATGCTGGGTCTTTTCCCATGGATTGCTTTCCTCCCCGTCATGAGTCATATCTTTTGCTTTTTTACCTTCTTGACAAATTGGATATTAGAAATAGCAAATTCTACATTTTTGAACCCTGGATTTTGTCATGTTTTTCAAGCAGCGCTGGATTTTGTGTTGGTGCCCATGGGGCCACGTCAAGGCTTGCTGCAAAGACTTGTTACAACAGGACCAGGACACCCTTCAGACGAGGGATAACTCAGGTCTACGATGACAGTGACCACTTCCAAGGTTCCCTGGTGTCCTGTTCAACGTTGGGGCGTTCACGCTGGCCAGTGGGGACACGAACTGTCTTTTCCGAGTCTACTACCTCTGGCTAGTTCTGCTGAACAGAGCGGCACTCCGGGGTGGCTGGACCTGGCCAGCAGAGCTCTCTCCTCTGCAGCATCTCTGCCCAGGCTCCGTCTCTGCCTCCTCAGCCAGTGCGGGTTCTGAGGTCCCTTTTGGTTTCCCTCCTTGCACCAGGGTCTGGAAACTGGGTCCAGGAGGAAGTGGCTGCCTCTGTAGGGTCCACCTTGCTCAAGTCCCTTCTCTCAGGGATCCATTTCCTGCCAACTCTGTTATTCAACATCTGTCCAGCACTTTTTTGGATACTGTGTTCTGTGTGGTGGCTGATGAGTGAGGAGGGTGAAACCAGCCCCGTTACACCTCTCATTAGAAGTCAGGTTTCCAAGGAAGGCTCACGCTGGGGCTGAGGTGGCAGGAGTTGGAACTTATCAATGGCCCATCCTCCTCCAGGTCAGCCTAGGACTGGGAGTCAGAAGTCTGCATTTCTCATCATCATTCAAGGACATTTCTAAGCCAGAGGTTCATGGACTTTGTCCTGAAAAACACAAAGTCACACACCGGCGTTATTTCCAGACGGCTGCTGCTGTCCTGTCTTTTGAATGTGCTCATTCAAAAAGCAAACACCAAGATCAAGGCAAACACAGCCCTGGAGCTGCCTCTCTAGGCCTTCAGTTCTGGCCTCTTTGGAAACCACCTGGCCCATGAGTCTCCTGTGGGACAGCAGGGTGGGGAACAGGGTGCGGGTGACAATCCACAGCTCAGACCCGGATCCCGAGACCTGGGGTCATCTGCCTGTCCAGCCAAGCTCTTCACTGCTCCTCCTCTTACCCGACCTTCGGCCCTGGTACCAGGCATGCTGGGTCTTGGCTTTTCCTTTCATTCTTGGCTGTCTGGCTTCAGAGTCTTAGGGGCAAAGGAAGGTGGCCATAATGGAACGGCATGTGGCGATGAACTGACTTTAAGGAGCGTTTGTTGGCCTTGATCATCTTGCTCCACAGAGCCCTAAAAATGATGCCAGCTTTTCCAGACCCAGAAACAAAGCCGGCTTATGCAATGGGCCCCTGAACCCATTCCTGAGGTTGCAGGGAACACAGACTGCTTTCCAAAACTCTCCTACAGCTGTTAGGGCCATGGGCTCAATCATGCCAGGGGCTATGTGCCTTGTGCCGCTCTTGAACTTACTCTCCTGGATGTTGGATGGCAAGCCCTGGGGCTTTTCTCCGCAGTGTCCCAGGAGCGTGAGGCTGCGGTGAAAACACAGATGTGATTTCAACCCAGACATTTCTTTAAGCCTTGGCAGCTGCCTTCTCTGCCTGGACAACCTCCCCGAGTCCTGGGCAGGCGTCTCCTCTACACTGTTCCCCAAGTGATCTGAGCCTTTTTTATAGGACTCAAGAACAACATTTGTCTAAAATTCTTGTGTCTTGATATGTGTTTTTCTCTCACCAACACTCTCAGGTTTTCCTAGCAGCCACAGAAGAAGTCCAGTTGATCTTCGAGGTAGATGCTGCGGAGCCTGGGAAAGGTCAAACTCCACGGAACTTGGTTTAACACACAAAACGCAGGTCCCTCTCAAGGACTAACACAGGTTGACGGTCCCGCACGCAGGGCAGGGACATCGGGTGAGCACGGCGAGGGGCCAGCCCTGAGGTAGCTTGTACTTGACGGCGAGGAATGTGTGAGAACCCCCTTGCCAGACAGTATCTGCGGTAGAGGCAGCAGGAGTACAGCTG